TTACTTGCTCTTGTTCTCTCCCGCACTCACCAGTTCTCTCCCTCTCTCTCCCCCCCCTCTCTCTCTCTTTCTTTCTCTCTCTCTCTCTCCTTCTTTCTCTCTCTTTCCAAATCACTCCGCTTTCCTCTATCTTTCTTACTTGCTCTTGTTCTCTCCCGCACTCACCAGTTCTCTCCCTCTCTCTCCCCCTCTCTCTCTCTCTCTCTCTCTCTCTCTCTCTTTCTCTCTCTTTCTGTCGCTCACTCCACTCATCTCTCTAATTCTCTCCCTCGTTCCCGCTCTCTCCTGCTCTCGCCAGTTCTCTCTCTCGTTACTTCTCTCTCTCTTGCCTTCTCTCACTGTATCTCTTTATCTCTTGATAAGACATCAACGATGCGAGATGTCAGGAGACTCGATCATCCACGCAGCGATATCACAAAGCTTTACAAATACAATTTTTGCCGTCACGCGGCCATATGGCGGACGTCTACTTATTGCCATCCTCGTCATTCTACCGCTTGCGCTACGATGTATAACCTATAGTATCCGTAACACGCCTTACCATCTAGAATGTCGTGAATCCATGAACAGACACAGTGATCCCCTGCTCTCGCTTTCTCTCTCACTCTCTCTCTCTCTCTCCCTTTCTCTTACGGAAGCTATGTAGGAGTCCCGCTATATCCGAACACACGGCGCGTCGTACGTCTGAAATCTAACTCGGCTTACACTTTCACGCAGAGACTCCGACACGACACACCTGGCGCCTGCGTTATATCATCAGGTGAAAATTCGACGTGTTATTTTCGGTGTAAGGTTATAATAGAATTGCTCGTCGCACACACGCACGCGCACGCATGCCCGTCCGCCTGCCGTTCCTCGTATATAACGTCGCGTATAGGAAAGCGCGCTGAAAATAAAATTACTCGCAACGCGCGATGCATATGTGTATCTATCTATCTATTGGTTTAGCGCCGCTCGTTTTAACAACGGGCGCCATCTACCGGCTAAGGCGGGCATGAGGTCTGAAGAGAAGCCAAATGGTTTGTCAGTAAGTTTTTTTGTGGCTCAAGTGTCGCGGGATTGATGGAAGAAATGCGGGGATCACACGCCCTGCTGCCCGATGCGGCTTTCATGCACACAGATATATAGTCAGTCACCGAAATATATAGGGGACACTAGTCTAGCCAGTATATTATTTCTATGGTCAGTCAAGTGTGACTGAACGGATTGCATTGCAATGCATGCGTGGCAACCATGTGGATTAATTCCACTCTGCTGAGTGGTCAGACCGTAGTCTGAACATACTCTCCGAGTGCGTGTGCTAAAGCTATAGGCACTCATGTCGCTCTGCAGCCGTCGATCCCCATTACAACATTAGCGCGCAGCAGTGTGTATAGTAAATTAAGCTTGAACTTCATACTTAATGGTCGTATTCACTTCGTATATATGTGGTTGATATATATTACGGTCTGATACACTGACATATTATAATACACTTCCAGTGCGCCCAAGCTGTGCACGGGCGTGTGCTTCTGCCTTCGGCCTACGGAGCCACATGACAGCCCATCGGTGAAGTGCACAACAAACGTCATCGTCGACAGCAACGGACTACTATCATTACGGTCTGAGCTAACCCCGGGAGTTAGCACGCACATCCTCTTCTCCACATCTCTCTGTGTAATTAGAAAGCTTATGCAACCGTCTGAAACCACGGGTATTAACCAAGCTGTGTCTCTCTGCCGCTGTATGTATAGAAATAATGTTTCGTTGCTTTTCGAAAGAAAAAGAAAACCGATTCGCTTGAGGGAGAATGCGAACTTCCCTTTGGTTCGAATTTACATTTTAATTCGCTTGTTAATGGAATATCTTTTACGGTATACGTTTTAGCTTACAACGGCGAAGATTTTTTGTAGTAAAAATGCTGTCTGGATATTTTACGACAGCCGTAATACCCCGTATTGGCGTAAAAAACGCAGAAATAGACAAACGTAGAAAACAGACGCTCACCACATAAAATTGTTAGTTTGCTTGTTCGTAAATCGAAATATATAGGCGAGCGTACAGCGACCCTGCTCATGTAGAATGAACCACCTCTGTCCGTAATCCTTCTGGCTGTACAATCATTTATATCAGATGCACATGAATGAGAGATCTCTCGCTCATGCACTCTTGATTGAATTCAACGCATGAGAAACTATAATAGCGCTCTCAATGCGGTGTCACGAAAATCGGAGTCAGTGAATTGTGTATTATAATATACTCGTGTATGGGCGCCAACCCAGTTTGCTGATAAGTTATTAAGATAGACGCATCCCATTACTATAAGTATGCAAATCACATGCGTATTAGATCATATAATAAAAAAAAATCGATCCATCTGCGGGATTCTAAGTTAACTGCTTCGTCAGAAATGACGTTTCTCGGTTGTGTACTACAAAAGTAGATGTTATATTCCTAAACGGTTTGCGGTACACGGCCATTCCTAGTAAATGCGCGGAAACAAAAGTTCTAAACTCAGACTAGAAGCAGGTGCGTTTACCTGTTCTATATAAACTTGTCTATGTGCCTTCGTGCAAAATACACATGTATAATCAAAACATTTAAAAAAACGTTTTGAAATTCCGTAGTCAAAGTGCATAGAGCATAGAGTAACAGCAATTTGATACTGTCTTTAAGGGAGAGAAGAGAGAGGTTATATAAATATATATATTCATAAACAAAACGATAATATTTATTAACACTATGATTTATTTTCATATTACTAAGTCTACAGGCAAAATAATAATCATTAGCTACCCACATATATACGATGCATAAAAATACTTTCCATACTTTTACAATTATTTACAAACAGTACTACGTAAGGTGTATAGATAGATATATGCACTTAAACTACAGTTAATGAAACAAAACACCATGTCAATACGTCACCGAAAACCTATCGCGTTTCTGTACACGTCATTCATGCGATACTTGTAATACTCCCTCTATGTCGATTACAGATATACACACTCTCAACGCTATACCAGCAGTGTACCCCGTAGCCGTAGCTAGTAGCCGTAGCAAGACACGGTGCACAGAATCCAAAACGACGGAACACCAGTCTGCTCACTTACAGTACTTTCAGACTCAAGTGCTTCACTCACTTTCATTACTACATCCAGTACTTATAGTACATCCAGTACTTATAGTACATTCAGTACTTATAGTACATTCAGTACTTATAGTACATTCAGTACTTTCAGACTCCCATGGGGGGGGCAGACGGCCATAGCGAACGGAGAGAATCTATTTAGACGCACGGTATTACATGTACACACCGTGACACGTGAATCGCACACACGCATCGTTCGCGACGACATTCCCCCCTTCCGATCTGCACCGAGGGCTACGTATTCGAGGGAATCTATACGTTCATGCTCGTCCTACTGGAACGCAAGACTGAAAAGTGGCGATCCAACTCGGCCGACTAACGAAAGGGTTAATTACTGCCCGTCACGCGTAAAATGCAGTGATACTGGCGTAACTAACTATTACGTAGTCAAGTCACACGCAGACATTATCTGTAATGTACCCATGCTTATGTTTCTACTCCTCCTCTTGTTATGGTAAAGGGTTTTCGTCTGCAAGTAAAATGCAGTAGTTGCTGCAATACGAGCGAAGGTGTCGTACTCTTGGTGATGACATGGCAAAATATAACGGAATATTATTGAACAGGAAACCTGTTTAGTCTTCCCATCTTTAAGATGGCAAATATGTATATACATACATTAAAGAATTGACCATTGCATTATATAAGCATATTATATATATATAATATATTCATATATATAGTATATAATATTATATATATATTATATAGAATATATACGATATATATATATTATGATCAGGAGCTAATAATGACAAATTGTCATTAAGAGTCACATTATGACACATTATGACATAATTCACATAATGACAAATTTGTCATTATTAGCTCCTGATATGATTATACTTTGACTTGAAATGATCAATTCTATAATACCCAATTATAAAACCACAGAGTAAACACGTATGCAGAACAGTTAACACACACACCCCCACACAGTGTCGGTATCGCTGTTCAACCCAAGCTGGACAGTTCACTGTCAAAACACACCACTTTCAACACCTGCACAATCAGACAATAGAGAAAAACCAGGGGCCCGTTGTCAGAAACAAAATTAGTCTTTACATTAGCCTTAACTTTAATATGTTTCTGACAACGGGCCCCAGAGATACATTTATACCAGGTTACTAGTGGATTCGATGCAACAATCGACAGTATTTACAATAGCACACTTGCCTGTCTACCTTCGTTCTCAACCTTTTCAGATCACCTTGATATACACGGTAGTAGTCAGTTAGCACATTCTTATGCTCGTTACATATTGTCAGTTAGCTAGCATACACGCATGTATGCACCCACATGCTCTCATGCAGGCACACGTGCACGCACATGGCCAGACGCACTCACGCAGGCACATGCCCACACGCATGCACACAAGCACATGCCCACACGCACGCACGCAAGCACATGCCCACACGCACGCACGCAAGCACGCACGCACGCACACGTATGCACGCACATGGCCACACGCACTCACGCACGCACACATGCACGCAGGCACATGCCCACATGCACGCACGCACACGTACGAACACAAATGCCTACACGCACGCACGCACACATGCACGCATGCACGCACACATGCACGCACGCACGCACACATGCACGCATGCACGCACACATGCACGCACGCACGCACACTCACACACATATACAATTATAAGGCTGAAAACATTGACACAACACAGACTCGCGCAAGTGACCCTACAATCGTTACCCTGTCACCACAACACACTACTCGTGAAAAAATGTCATTGAGAAAACAGCCCTCACGCTCCGACCTGCCCCCTGTACCCCACTTCACGTCTGACTCGCAGGGTATGGCTGGGATGTACTCAGCATCGACTAAAATCAACAGAATTTTTCGAAGATGAAGAAATACATGTGCCTTTGGTGAATCTCACACGTGTTTGCTCCTTAACTAAGAGCTTAGTCTATCAGCAGGTCACTGCCACAGTGTTCTTGGTGTGCAGGCAACCCATTGTTGTCCTTGAACATCAACCAGTGCAGTGCAAAAATTGGTAGATAAACGTCCAAGGCTTTTACAACTGCGGCTCTTCTGCGTGCTGGAGAGGGGAACAGATGACAAGGATGGATGGGCCTGCTACCATCTCAAGTGTGGCTTGTATTTAATCATATATCTGGAACACAACAAAAGAGATGAAGTGAGAACAAGGTAAATCGAGAATATTTAGCAGTAGTAACATAAAGGTGTAGCCAGCAAAAACAACATGGTAGATCCAACAAAATATATTTCGACTAATCGTAATATTGACAAAATTTGCTATAAATTAGCCAAAAAGAAAAAAAGCACAACTGTGCAGTGCGCCCCATCAAATCTATATAGTTCTATTTCTCTAGGTATTCATTAATTCCAATAATAACAGATATTCACTTACACATGCATAGACAACACGATTATGGCATGTCAACTCAAACAATAAAAATTATATCGAGTTAAAAAACGGTTTAGCAAATACACATGCACAAAATCTAGCAATAAATATCAATATGTATAAATAAGAAAAAATATATAGCACATATATACACACATATACCTACATTGATATATGGTATACAATGGCGTTCAGATGTTTAATTTGTCATCGTGATGCATAACATTAAGGACATGTAACGCCAGTTCATGCATTAAGCATGACGCATCGTGATACATCACGACACATCGCAACACACCGTGATGCACCGTGACACATCATGGCACACCGTGATGCACCTTGACGCATCGTCGTGCGCCGCCGATGACAAACTCACTTGTCTAGGTATTCCCAGAACTTGATGAGCGACGCGCGATCTAGATGCCGCTTCGTCTTGCTCAGCTGCAGTATGTGCACCGACCACTTCGCCACGTTGGCGTCAAGTGGAAGCTCGTCCCACTTGATGTGAAACGCCTTGACTGGCGTGCGCGGAAAAAAGAAAGAAAGAGATATGCATGAAATCTCGGCGGCAGCTCGTCCCACTTCATGTGAAACGCTTTGACTGGCACGCACGGATAAAAAAAAACAAGAGATGCACGTGAGACTTCATCCTGCGATGCGGTAAGCTCATCATTTAACCTCGCGCGTCCGATCACACCACGTCGAATCCTATCTGACATTTTACTGGGTCCGTGTATCTGATGTGGCATCATGGATGTCTGACTTCACTGCGAGCATTTGTGTCAAATCGTCAACACGTTGACACGTGTGACTTTAAACAGCGTCCACGTGTGACGCTGACGCATCCGGTGTCAGTCGACGCGTGTCTGCACGCTATTAAGCTCGGTGAAGCAGGCACTTACTCCGATCAAAGATTTCCACTGGATTGCCATTCCACGGCCAGCCCTTGAACTGCCAGGCCGGCCCTTGCACGAACACAGCAACGACTCTGTCCCTGAAACGGTAACGCTAACGTGAGAAAGTAACGTACACGGCGCGGCGTTAAAAGAATTATTTCGTAAATAACTGCACAAGCGACAAATATATAGCGAAATGTAGTCTCACCTAATAGTAAACATGTTACTAATCTAAATAACAAAGTTAATTTTTACTCAACCGTACAAGTTTGAAACGTATTGCTGACATGTCGTTGATTTTACTAATCACTTCAAGATAAAATTTACCACGGTTTTATGCTGTTATAGTATATAAAATAGTATACGTTCAATCACGTCGCGACAATTTCCTTGAAATCGGCAACCACCATACAAAAGGGCATCTCAATTTTACTTTAGTCACTTGCTGCTACTCAAACAATACCAGTAAGTATTGTAGTAGTCGGAAAAATACGAAAACGGTCAGGAACACCATTTTAAATGATTACTGTAATACGCAATAATTCTACGTTTCCCCGTAGAAGCCTCCGGGCGCGTGAGCTCAGCAGGCGACCCCTGGTGGGTGGCGGGAGCGCATCCCAGCTCAACCGTACCCATGACTCACCAGTCATCGGGGGACAGTTTGAGGGGGTTGTCGATGACTCGGTAAGGCACCGTCAGGCCGCCGTCTTTCCGTCGCTGGATGAGCACCTCGTTATCACGCTTAGCACCCTGCTTCTTCTTGTCTTCCGTACTCATAAACCTAGGCAGACGAAAACAAAATGTCACGCGAGGTATACAATGCGATCGCATGTGCGAATGCATCACAACGTGAAATGCCTACATGTGATCGTAGGGTTACACATTAAAGTCTATGGATAACATGTTACATGCTAAACATCTACAGATGATAACATTGATATGTTACATATTACTCATCTGCAAGCAAAACGTTATGTGCTCCACATCTACAGACGACATGTTTCATGTTACACAACTACACGGAACATGTTACATGTTACACAACTACAGGCAGCATGTTTCATGCTACACAATTACATGGAACATGTTACGTGTGACACATCTACATGGAACATGTTACATGTGACACATCTACACGGAACATGTTTGACGCTACACAACGACAGGTGACATGTTGTAACTGGTAACAGTGATCATCAATCGACACAGGCTTACTTGAAGTCTTGCAGCATGTCCTTGACATTGTACATGGTCACCAACGAGGTGGTGGCTGCCGGTATGACAAAGATGGGGGTGCGGGAACCTGCAAACACACCAGTCACCGCGTACAGATGAGCCGAACGAAACACTCGACCTATCTCTAGAGACGAGAGGCTTCCAAACCGCGCAAATGCAAACAATTTACTTATTACTACTTATTTCTTTTATTTCCTTATTTATTCCTTCCTATTTATTTCTTATTTTCTTGTCTACTCTCGCGACCTCGACTCGCTCTAGCGACAGTTCCGGCACGAGAAATGCCCCGACGCAGGAGATCTCACCTCGCTTGGCGTTGGCGGGAGGTCGGGCGATGGAGACGGGTTTCGCCTGCTGCTGAGCGTTGGGCATCTGCTGCGGCTCGGGCGCAGCCTTGCGCGCCGTCACGCCCTCTGTCACCGACTTCAAGGTCATGCCGTGATACGTGCCCATCGTGTCGATCTTGAAGCCCTCGGTAGCTGCGGGGGAAAGCAACGTTAGCTGGTGAATTATCCGCGAGTCACCGGTTGTCAAGTCTTGTTGCACTCTCAAGTCACTAAGCCTGGTGGCTCACTGACCTGGAGACCTCACTCCAGTTCCTGTGTGTCAAGTTCCTATGAAGTGACTGTAGCATTTTCGATGGAGGAGAGAGCAAGCACTGATCGAATCTAATTTAAATACGAATGTAAGTTACGTATATCTTTATTTTTCAGTAATGCTGCTATAACACAGATGATCTACAGCGTGTAATCACTAGGAAATTGGCCTGGTGTAGGCATCTCAAATTATCAGTAGTTTTTAATATGAAAATTTCTTGCAGAGATAGAGTGAAGACAAAATCATAGTAAAGATCTCGTTCAATAGAGATAACATTTGATAATACAACTTTCTGTAAATTTTCATAAAAGCCCTGCTAGCACAGATCATTCTTATCGCCGTATTTCTACACGTTAAAAGCACTGTCTCATGTAAGAACATGAGCGTAGGAGAACAGACGCACGAAGAACTTCATACCTTCCTTCGACTTTGTAAAGCGTTCCTGATCGTATCTGTTGTAAGCAGTCAGCTGTTGTGGTTTCTGCTGTTGTTGTTGTTGTTGTTGCTGCTGCTGTTGCTGTTGTTGCTGACCCTGCAAATAGTAGAGAAAGTGTTTTAAGGTTTCATCGCACAACTCTTCACCTAGAGAGACTGTGGGGAAAGACGAATGCCCTATAAACTATATTTACTACATATATACTATATTTTACAACAGATGTAGCCATTTAGGGGTTCCTTAGGACAATACTTGATTGGTCTAAATGAGTTTGCATGTGCTTCTAGGTTTACCACATTTCTCACTGATTGTAGTTTATAAGAATTAAGACAAAAATTAATTATTAGGAATTGTCTGTCTCTCTTGTTACCTTTTGATCAGCATTGCCGTGTGTATCTGGCTGCTGCTTATAACCTTCCTCCCTAGCTTTTATCGACGTCAATATCCCAAATACGTTCTTCGCGAAATTCTGAAAAATTCATATCAAAATCAAATCAAACAATGAGGTCTTTTGTTAAAGCATTGCATCATTAAAACTTTCTCAAACAATTAAGCACTCTGACATTACTCCCCTGCTTTCGCCCCCGCACGCGGCGCCCCCTCTCCCACGCCCCGCACATGGCGCCCCTCCCCTTCACCCCGCATGTGGTGCTCCTCTCCTCTCGCCCTATGTATGGCATCCCTCCACCTCTCCCCACATGTTGTGCCCCCTCCCTCTCGCCCCCGCCCCTACACATAACTCCCAGCGTCCGCCACAGCCTCTCTCTGCTGATGATGTCGCGCGTGCCTCCACCTCCTCCCGCCTCCACTCCTCCTCCCCCTCT